TTCCCAGGCACACACAGGGCAGGGTCCTGAGGGAGCAGCCAAGGAAGTGGGGTGGGGTGGGGGTTGTTTGTGCTGGGACAGGGCCACGGGGCGGGGCCAAGTTTCAGTTTTGTTTCTCTTCTGGGGGACATTTCTGAGAACTCCTGTCCCGCCCCTTCCTGTGTAGATGACAGGCTGGGAGGAGGGCTTGGGAAATCCTGGGTGAAGAGAGGAGGAGCCCCACAGGGGAAGACGCACCCCCTCCCCCAGGCTCTTCCTCTCCCACGTGTCCCAGCTGCTCAGCTGTGAGGGGTGGGTGCCTGGCCCCTGCGCCAGCCTGTCCCCAAGGCTGGCCCTCAGGCTGCAGGTGGGCACACAGCACGACCCCTGCGCTGCTCTGCACGTCTGCAGACTTAGTGCACTGTGACAGTGAGAGAAAACGATGCGATTTTTCCAAGTAAAAGACCGTGAACCAGAAGCCAGACGGGAAGGAGGAGGCGACCCGGGGAAGCCTGGGCCTGAGCTGGACCTGCTTGAGTGCGGAGTCCCGGCTGCCCTGGGCTGCAGATGGAGCTGCCTGGGGACCCCTCCCCACTCGTGCAGTCCTCCAGCACCTGCCTCAGTTATCAGGGTTGAACTTCACCCCGACCTGGACTCACTTTACAGGAGGGCGGGGCGGGGTCCGGGTGGGCGGAGTCCTGGTGGGCGGGGCTCCAGGTGGGCGGCCCGTGGTTCCGGGTGGGCGGGGCTGGTTCCCGGTGGGCGTGGCCTTCCCCGTGCTCGCGGGCGGTGGGGAGGGAGGGGCTGAGCAGAAGCAGCGGAACCCGCTCCGTGCACGTCCCTCCGGAGCTGCTGCCTGCAGCGCTGGGCTGCGGAGGCCGGAATGCAGCCCGGGGAGGTCAGAGCGCTCACGAGCGAGTCCAAGGGCGGCTGTGAGCGCGAGCGGCCGCCCACGTTCGTGCGGGGCAGAGACGAGATAACCGGTACGTGCTGGGCTGCGTGCGATGGGGACCCGGGGCTCCGCATGGGTGCAGGACCGCATTTCAGCAGGGGCCCTGATGGAGTGGGAAGGTGTCATGGCAGGAGGTCACGTCCCCACCCACAGAGGGCCTAAACCTGACCAAGTCTTCCCTCCACGCCGGGTCTGTTCTCAAAAGGGGCACCCCATGAACTAGGCAGAGAAGGTGGCAGGGGAGGGCCCTGGGGAGAGGCGCTCAGCCACCGTCAAGCAACAGGTCCACGGGCCGCGTTGTACCCCGACTTCCCAGAGACCAGCACAGCCTGG